TTGTGGGGAGAGACAAAACCGGGGGGGGGGGGGGGGCCGGGTTTGGGGGGTTTTTTTAAGTATCAAAAAGCATTGGGAAAAGAAACCAAGTTAAACTCTTTGTGCCCTTGTTGTTGCTGCATGACACTCTTAAAATGGATTATTAATAGACACACTTTGTTGTTAGGGAGTGCTCTTGGACTATAAGCAGCATGAGTGGTGAAACTCTGATACAAGATTTCTTTGAGGAACACTGAGGTAGAGGCAAGAAGTGGGTGGTGACAAAGATTACTCTGTATATACAAAATGATTAGGTCTCTTAAGGCCTGATGGGTTTGGGGCACAAGAACCTAAGTGTTTAAATCATGTCATAATATATCTTGCGGAAACACTTCTGTTCTCTTAAATTACAATAGGAATGAAACAAAGGGAATTCATCTGGGCAAGATTTAATAGGAACACACTATACTCAATGTATTACTCTACTACAATTGAAATCAGATCATTCTAAATCAAAGGAAGATTATAAAGGGAATCCAACAGAAAGAAAAGTACTCCTTTAGGGTTTTTGCTCTTACCTAAACTGGTCTATGCTACTGGCAGCTTTGCGAACTCTCCCATACATCCCTGCTATGTTACCATCCACGTCACTAAAAAGAACAGGAACATTCCGCATTCGAGTGCCTATTGAACAAAAATTCTAATTAACTTAAAGACACATTTCCAGCTGTCTGCCTAAGTTAGGTCCACATAGATTTTATTAAACCAGATGAATTGCTGTATTTTTTTTTTTAAAGGACCTATCTGTCCTGAGAGGGACTGATGGCTAGGATTAGAACTGAACAAAAATATATCCTATAAAATTAATTTTATTCAATTTCCATATCTATTAAATATGTATTTTAGTATTCAGCTCATATGACTGGACACAAAACATCTGTTGGCGTCTCTATCACATCTTTAGTGCATAGCATTGTGAACTTTATATCGACTGTACCTTTTCATGCAAATTGACAGCTGTCATACAATAGTCAAGTTTATTAATTTATATAGGAAAGGCTGTTATTCTTCAAAGGTTTACAGAAATTCATAAATAAAGGACTCAGTTTAAAGTTTACTATAGATTCTCAAAACAGAATGTGTCCGAGTGTAATTCCACAAGACTGGCTTAATTATTTGTATAAGAGCAGTAACCCACCCTCCCATGACATACAAATGCATAATTTAAAATTTTCTTGCTTGCCTAATAAAAGTTTTACAAATTGCTTTTTTCATGAAGCTGAATAATAATAGCAAAAAAAAGTCTTAAACAGAAGCCATTAGCTGCCAAGTTATCTCTGAGACACTTTTGTAGTATTACACAGACTCCGTGGCCCTTGGGGTCCCTTCTAATGCTATGATTCTGGAGGTGTGCCGATATAAAAAAACAAAACAAAACAAAAAACTGCCCCAAAAACAGTCCATATCAGATTGGCACCGATAAAAGGAAAATTGACACTGATCAGCAATTGGCTTTTTTGGGTGTTGTAGCAGAGAATGCAGGGATGGGCAAAATATGGCCCATGGGCCAGATCCAGCGTTACAGGCCATTCAATCTGGCTTGCAGGGCCCCTAAAAAATTTAGAAAATTAATATTAATCTGAACCCAGCTGTTTGTCAAAGATGATGGCAGCCAGGGCCAGAAAGACCCAAAAGGAAGCCAGGGCAGGCTCCTGCAATAGCAGGGTCTGCCCAGCCCTACCCCCAGCCGGAAGCCCCTGCCTAGCAGAGGCTTCTGGCCTGGGACCATGGAGCTGTTCATGCCTCCCTGTCCCAAGCGGGAAATTCAGGTAAGAAGGTGATGGGCATGCAGAAAAGTGGTGAAAGTGGTGGCGGAGGCAAAGGGAGTGGAAGGGACTGGGCATGCGGGAGCCCCACCAGCACTGGCAGGGCCCAGAGTGGGGCAGCAGGAGCACGGGTTGGCAGGGGTCTTTGGAGCTAGGCTGCACTCCACCAGAGAGAGATGGGAGCTGGCCCAGCTCCATAGAGCCCCAGACAGCTGGGAGCCTCCGCTCCTACCGCCTGCTCTGGGCCCCTCTGCTCCTGGCCCCAGGGCACCAGTGGGGGTCCAGCACTCCCGCCTGGCTGCTGTGTGCCCACTCGCTCCCATTTGCTCCAGCACCGTGGTTATGATTATGGAGGTGTGGGGATGACTGCGAACAGACCTGACCCCACACACCCATCTGGACTGAGCAGCAGCAGCAGCAGCGAGTGGAGAACAAGCTGTTGCTCAACACGGGGCAAAAGCAGCCCCTCCCCTCCTGCCGCCAGTGCTCCCTGCAGCAGCTGCCCAGAGCCCACAGGGTTGTCCTGCCTCTCCGCCAGGTACTCGCCACCCTGGGCCAGCGGAGCAACAGAGGGTGGAGTACTTCCAGGGGCAAGGGAAGGGACTTCCGGTGGCAAAGGTCAGAGATTAAGGGGGTGGTACTTCTGGTCCTAAGGTGGCGACCAAGGGGCGGAGCACCTGTCAAGGGGCAGGGCTACCCATGTAGCCCTTGACAGCTTGGCAAAACTTGGTAAGCGGCCCTCTGCCTGAAATAACTGCCCTCCCCTACAAAAATGTCACTGATAAATGCTGTGTGTATGCACATAGCTGCAGCATGCACATGGCCACAAATAGAGCCTGGCTGCTTGGAGACTAGTGTTTGCCCAGGAAGTCTTTTGGGGGGCGGGGGGAGGGGAGGGGGGATATGGAGCATTGTGTGGGGGCAGATACAGGCCCTCACAGCAAGGGAGGTAGTGGGGCTGAGGAACGCACTGTCCAGCCAGGTGGGGCAAGGCACAGGATGAAGCCGTATATGGCTCCCCATCGCTGCGCACATCCCCAGGGCAGGTATGGGGGCACGTGCCTCCCAGATTTGTGCGTGGGGCAAGGACAGGCTGCCTGCTGTGGGCTCAGGGCCAGAGGCTGCACTGGCCTCTTCCTGCAGGGGGGCTGGGCCAGGGTTGCACTCGGGGCATGTGGTGATGCTGCTGGGAGGGAGGCTATAGGGTGGGCTATGGCCACCCCAAAATTCCCTGTAGCCCCCCACCCCATACCCTTCCTCCCAGCGCCACTGCCACCTGCTCCAAATGCAGCCCCAGCCCAGCCCCCACATGGTGGGAAGAAGCCAGCGCAGCCCATGGCCCTGAGCCTGCAGCAGGGAGCCGCCCCCCTACCCCCTGGACAAGCCACCCGTGGCTCCATCCCATATCCTGCCCTACCTGGGCTGTGCCTGCCCCTGTCCTAGCCCCATTCCCTCTCTCACTGTGGAGGCCTCATTCTGCACCTCCCCGCCCCCCCACAGACATACTGGCCAGATCCTGCTCTCCAAGCTGCTGGGCTGCATACTGACTATCGGATCAGTATTGGCTGATATGGCTAGTTAATAAATCAGCCATTGGCATAGGTCAAGAAAATCTTTACCAGTGCACCCCTAATGATTTGACATTTGAAACAGCACACCAATCAAGCCAATTTCAATGAAAGGAGCTGCTTTTTTTTTTTTTTTTTTTTTAAACATTAGGGCTGGAAGGGAGCTTGGAAGATCATTGAGTCCAGCCCCCTGCCCAAAGGGCAGGAAGTCATCAGGGGCCACAGGACCCCAGCAAGATAGACATCCAAATGTCTCTTGAAGGCGTTCAAAGTAGGTGCTTCATCCACTTCTGGCGGCAGTCTATTCCAGATCTTGGGGGCTCAGACAGTAAAGAAGTTCTTCCTAACGTCCAGCCTAAAACAGTCACAGAGAAGTTTGTGACTGTTCGATCTTGTCATCCCTTGGGGCACTCTGGTGAACAGATGTTCCCCCAGATCCTGACAAGCACCCCTGATAAACTTATAGGCAGTCACCAGATCACCCCTGAGCCTGCACTTTTCCAGGCTGAAGAGTCCCATGGCTCTCAGCCTGTCATCATAAGGTCGGTTTTCCTGACCTCTGATCACACGCATGGCTCTTCTCTGGACTCTCCCAAGCTTCTCCACATCCTTTTTTAATTGTGGAGCTCAAAACTGAGCGCAGTACTCCAGCTGCGGCCTCACCAGGGCCAAGTACAAGGGGAGAATGACATCCCGGGATTTGCTTGAGAAGCATCTATGGATGCAAGCCAGGGTTTCGCTCACTTTACTAGCCACAGCATCACATTGAAGGCTCATGTTCATCTTGCGGTCAGTCATGACGCCAAAGTTCCTTTTGTCCGAAGTGCTGGCCAGTGTAGCACTGCCAAGCCTATAAGCATGCTGCGGGTTTTTCCTCCTGAGGTGGAGAACCTTGCATTTTTTGGTGTTAAATGCCATCAGGTTCTTGTCTGCCCATTTCTTAAGTCTGGCAAGGTCAGCCTGGATTGCCCTCCTGCCCTCAGGTGTGGACACTTTACCCCAAAGTTTGGTGTTGTTGGCAAACTTGGCCAGTCTGCTTCTGACACCAATGTCCACATCATTAATGAAGATGCTGAACAATACAGGCCCAAGGACAGAGCCTTGGAGGGACCCCGCTGGCTACAGGGCACCATGACGATTGACTTCTGTCAACCACCACTCTCTGGGTCCAACCACACAGCCAATTTCCCAGACAGCGGATTGTGGAGAAGTCGAGGCCACAGTTAGCCAGTTTTGCCAAGAGATGGCTTTTTTAAAGTCAAGATATACATCAATCTCTTCCCCCTTTGTCCAGGTGATAGGTCACCTGGTTGTAAAAGGAAATAAGATTGGTCAAGGAAGACCTACCTGAGATAAACCCATGCTGGCTATCCCTCAGGATTCTGCCATCAGCCAATCTGTTGAGAATGGTCTCTTTGATAATCTTTTCTAGGATCTTCCCTGGGATAGAGGTCAGGCTGGTGGGCCTGTAGTTTGCTGGATCCACTTTCCTCCCCTTCTTGAAGACAGGCACCACATTGGCCTTTTGGAGTTTTCAAAGATCTGTGCCAGTGGCTGGGCTATGATGCTCGCCAGCTCCTTCAGTACCCTGGGGTGTAAGCCATCAGGGCCGGCTGACTTGAAGGTATCCAGCCTCTCAAGGTGTTCCTTCACAAGGTCAGCATTGATGGAAGGTAAGGAATATCCCTCACCAAGGCCTTCCTGTCCTGTAATGGGCAGGGGCGTCCCTTGGGACTGGTGAAAGACCAACGTAAAGTACCCATTTAGCAAGTTGGCTTTTTCATAGGCATCAGTGGTCAGCTCTTTTCTCAGTTTTGCATGAGAAGCCAACGGAGTGCAAAAAGGCTGATCTCATCTAAGTAAAACACAGTTCTGATTTACTTACAATGGAATACTCCTTATTCTGATTCTTTCACCACCCTGCAAACACTTCCCTCCTTGCTATACAAACACTGCATATATGTTTTGCAAGGGATATTCAGGGTTAAAGTCCACAAAATCAATCTACCAGTGGTACTGGCACTTGCCGTAGATAACCATTTTAACAAATTCTTGCTGTATCAGTCACAAAAATAGTTAAGGATGAAGTTTTTGTTTATTAAATTTGTTTAAAATTATGAAACTGCAGTACTTATCTGGTTGTTTTCAAGTGTACTGGTTATACTTCCAAAGATAAACTACCTGAGCTGTTTAATTACAGTATTTTCTTATGTATTAAAATCAGGGGTGGGCAAAATACAGCCTGCCAAGCACTTCCCTCTGGCCCACAGAGCCCCTTCAAAACCCACGTAATGGCAGCTGCCTCTCAAAATGCCTCCGGTGGTACCAGCTGCCGGTTGCAGTACCTCAGGCTGTTTCCTTGCGTCCTGGTTGTGAGGCAAACAACCTTGACCTCAGCCTGACATAGCTGGCCCCGTCACAACCCTGGCTCAAGCCATGTTTGCAGCTTGAGAAGGGCAGGGGGGCTGGGCCAGAACCTGTGGTGCTGGTGAGGGGAAACAGTGTCTGGCCTGGGTTCTTTTTTTGTAAAGGGCCCTGCCCTGCAGGTAAGCCCAGGAAAGCAGCTGTTGGGCAGGCTTTCCCCGTGCCGTGCCATACCGCTCAGGCTGGGCTGGCACTGGGGAGGGAAAGCAGCAGCTGGGCCGCAGCTCTACCCAGTCAGCACCAGGGAGGAGAGGTGGTGGCAGAGCTGTGTGCTGCTCGGGACAGGATGAGCCCAGCCAGAGCAGCAGGAGCTCAGCTGCATTTTCTCCCTGCCTGTGCCGGTCAGTCCCGAGCAGCACACAGCTCCACTGCCGCTTCTGCTGGCTGATGCTGACCCAGCTGGGCTCCTCTCATCCACAGCAGCACCTGGGAACCTGGCTTCAGTCGCATGCTGCTGGGGACAGGAGGAGCCTGGCCAGGTCTGTACCGGCCAGCAGAAGCAGCGGTGGAGCTGTCCCGCTTGGGATGGGACGAGCCCGGCCGGAGCAGCAGGGGCTCAGCTGCACTCTCCCCCTGCCTATACCAGTCAGTCCTGAGCAGCACGCAGCTCCACCACCGTTGCCTGCCGGTGCAGACCCGGCCAGGCCTGTCCCGTCTGGGGCAGCATGCGGCTGAAGCCGGCTTCCCACGTGCTGCTGGGAGCCCAGCCGGGTCTGCACCGGCCAGCAGATGCCGCGGTGGAGCCGTGTGCCACTCAGGACTGACCGGTGCAGGCAGGGGAAAATGCAGCTCAGCCCCTGCCACTCCAGCTAGGCTCGTCCCATCCCAAGCGGCACAGCTCTGCCGCTGCTTCTGCTGGCTGGTGCAGACCTGGCCAGGCTCCTCCTGTCCCCAGCAGCATGCAAGGAGCTGACTTCAGCTGCTTGCTGCTTTTCCTGGCCAGTGCAGACCCAGCTGGGTTCGTCCCATCCGGAGCAGCATGCAGCTGAAGCCAGCCTACCAGGTGCTGCTGGGGATGAGGCGAGCCCGACTGGGTTGGCACTGGCCAGCAGAAGCGGCGGCAGAGCCTCCTCCTTTTGGGACCAGCTGGCACAGGTAGGGGGAAAGTTCTGGGGGAGGACTGATGCCCTTGAAACCCCACTGCTGGGACAGGATGTTAGAGGGGTCACAACCCCTTGCTACCTGGTAAGTTGTGCAAGGGGAGGGACTTCTGGTGGCAACGGTCAGGGGCAGGGCTTCCGGTCCCAAGATGGGGCAACTGAAGGGGCGGGGCTACCAATGCAGCCCTTGACAGCTCGCCAAAAACTCAAGCAGCCCTCTGCCCAAAATAATTGCCCACCCCTGTATTAATTGCTTAGGGAAACTTATGTGATATATGCAAGACCTTACTAATGCAGAGTACAAATACAGTATAAATAGTCTGAACCTTCATGCTTACCTTCACCACTGTCAACTCCTGCCATATTAATGGATGGTCCATTAGTACTACTGCCTTGAATGTTCTTAAGCTGTTGCTCAAGACGTTCCAGTTGATAGACAAGGGAATTTTTTTCTGTACTGAGGCTCTCCAACATGGTCTGCTTCTGAATAAGAGTTTCTGTCAGTTGATGAAGCCGATTTTCCAACTCTGTCTGACTACTACTACTCAAAGTCTTGTTTGTGAGCTGAAAAAGAAACATCAGTTCAAAGTCTGAGTGAGGAGATGAAATAATCACCCTTGTAAAAAAAAAAATACTATAAAATTCAATCCAGACAACTGAAGTATTTAAAAAAAATTCTTAACAAGAAGAGAGGACAAGTATAAAAGAAAAATATATTTTAGTAATTATTAAAGCCAGATACAGTAATCATTATTTGGAAGCTCCTGGTAAGAATTCATTCACATTTTATTCTATTACCCACATGCACTCTTCCATGCAGCAGTGAGCCTGTGCACAACCAGAAATTAGAGTACCCAAAAAGTTTAGAATTTAATGACATGCGTGGGAATACAAAATGTCTTAAATGCAAAAGGAAAGCATACAGGCAATGGAAGAATGGGCAGGTCACCAAGGACATGTACCAGGAAACAGCAAGGACTTGCAAGGACAAAATCAAGAAGGCAAAGATAAAGAATGAGCTTAAGGACAACAAGAAGCATTTCTATAAGTATGTGGTCTAGAAAAGAAGGACCAAGGATAGCAGGGCACTACTAATTGAAGATGCAAAGAAGGTAGAGCTACTCAACAGCTACTTTGCCTCAGTCTTCACAAAAAAAAAATTAAGCTGCCAGACACCTAATAGGGATTATCTGGATAAGGAAGGAACCAAACTGAGGGAAGAGATAAAAGAAATGGTCAGATAGCTTTTGTTGCATCTGAATTAATTCAGGTCAGCAGGGCCAGATAAGCTTCGTCCCACGGTCCTGAAAGAACTGGCAGAGGAGATCTCAGGGCCCTTGGCAATGATCTTCATGAAGTTGTGGGAGATGAACCAGGTACCAGAGGGCTGGAGAAGGTCCAATATAGTGCCCCTCTTTAAAAAAAAAAAAAAAAAAAAAAAAGAAGGCAAGAAGGAAGATCTGGGGAACTACAGGTAGGTTAGTCTCACCTTAGTACCTGGGAAGTTACTGGAAAATTTCCTAAAGAAGACCATTTGCAAGCATCTGGAAGAAGAAAGGCTGATCACAAGCAGTCAGCATGGATTTATTAAAAGCAGGTTTGTTTGACACGATTTGATCTCCTTTGACAAAGTAACTACTCGGGTGGATGAAGGGAATACTCTGGATATAGTGTATCTGGACTTCAGCAAGGCTTTTGAGTGGGTGTTGGCTACAGCCAAGGCTGGGGTCCTCAACTGCAGTGTGCCAATTCTCCTGCTGCGAGCAAAGCTGGAAGTTCCAGGCTAGAGGGTCTTGCCCCTCTGCTCAGGGTCGGACAGATTGCCATATTTTAAGTAAAGAAGGTATTGTGGTCAGATTGGTATCGACTGTGTGGGCTTTTGCCTTCTTTTGTGGCAGGAGGGGCGGCGCTCTGCCCAGGACCTTGAGAGTATATTGACAACATTTTACAAAAGCAGGACATTGGCCACCATGGTTCCCCTGCTTTACCTGTGGCAGGTTAGGGTGTTAGGTCTATGTTGTGTCAGGGTTGATGGTAGTCTTATGTAGAGTTTAGATTATGGTTCTGTGAGATGGTTTGGAAGGAATGATCCTGCCACGGCAGGCGGTTGATCTCTGAGGTCCCTTCCTGCCCTAGTTCTCTAGGACAATACAGCGAGATAAGGCCATTACAACCATAACTGTCACAGTTTAAAAGAGGATATGGAAAGGAGTTAGTACAGATTACCTGAGAGGCTACTATAAGCCAAGGGGGCAGCATGAAAGAAGAGATGAAACTGAGCATGGGTGCTCAAGGACATAAAGACTTAGAAGGGACAGGACAAGAATGGTGGAGGCAAACTGTAGAGCAAAGTTATGGTAGGGTGGTACGTGTGATCCAATCTGTAGAGAATTTCAAAAACAAACTGGAAACACTTGACTTTGGGATTCCTTAACTCAGGAGTTGTCAACCAGAGGTATGTGTATTCCTGGGGGTACTTGAGAAGGCCCTAGGGAGTATGCAGGGGAAAATGGGGACAGAGTGCTGCCACATACCACCTTGCACTGCTATGCAGGCACCGCGTGCCTGGCTGGATGCGAGGAAAGTGCGTACATGGTGGCTGCTGCCGCTCCACATTCAGCTGCACATGCACCCCACCCTGTGTTTGGCTGCGTGCCAACCCCTACCCCCACGTTTGGTGACCAGGGGTAAACTGCTCTGCATCTGGCCGCCAGGAGTACACTGATCCAAAAAAAGTTGAAAACTCCTGCCTTAACTGGCTAAGTGTTATTGTTTCTATTCAGATACTCCCCATACTAACAGTGGCCTCTTTTTGGAAGTTAAGCTTGAGTAACCCATGCCTATCTAAAATGGTAACAAATAGCGCTGTGTGAAGCTTTGGTTGCCGATTCAATTCGAAGAGATTTGATTCAACCATAGACACAGCTTTATGTTTTTTCTTCATACCTTAAGGTACCAGGCACCTCATGAATGCTGAGAAGCCTGGGTAGATGAAGCATCCCACACGAGTGCGGAGGGGTCCTGAGCACACTGTGCGGCAGACCCAGAAGTGAATGGGAACTGTTTCCAGTCCACTTCTGGGTCCGTTGTGGAGTGTGTGGAGGGATCTCCCTCCCATCCCCCAGCTCGGTGACTGGTGCCTCCTGGGTCTTGGGGGGGGACCCAGGGTTCCCCCATGGCCAACTGCTGAGCCGGGAGTGTGCGTGCACGTGCGGGGTGTCCACCACCAAGCATTTGGAGGCCCCC